AACGGTCTAGGACCTCGCTATCTGACGGAACTTCTCCTCCCACCAAAATCTACCCATATCACATGATCTAGTCAGGAGGTACAACTGAGGAGCCTAATGCCAAGAGAGGCCCGGAAGGAAAAAAAACAAGAAACCGGGCCTTCTTGGCAGTGGCTCCTCAGTTATGGAATAATCTACCTTCAGAGATCCATATGGCCCCTTTGCTGGGTATTTTTAAAAGCCAATTAAAAACCTGGCTATTCAGGCAGGCCTTCCCTCCAAGCGCTATTTGATCTATCTTCTTTGTTTTTTCCATCTTGAATGATTAATTATTTTTGGATATATAGTAGATGTTATTTTAATCTGTTTATTTTGTTTGATGTACGCCACCCAGAGTAGTTGAATGACTAGAGGGGTGGGATATAAATAAATAAACAATCAAACAAACAAATTTTGATGGCATTGCTCTCAGCTTCCCTGACACAGTCCAGCCCCCTCACCACATTAAGGTGTGCAACCAAGAGGAAGACCTTTAATGTTACATTTATAGTTGTGTCTTGGTTGTAGTCACTGTAACAGCATTAAGTAACACAGAGAACATCAACTGCATTTGGATAGGATACTTATGCATACAGAAAGATCTTTAGGAATGTGGTGTGGTTAATTCTTCCAAGTGTCAAGAAATACTGGCATGTACTGTTCTATTATGTGTGCAGAGCATTCTTTTAATACCTATGTGAATGGGTCAGTCCTTGCTTTCACAAAAATATATGTGTGCACAGAAAACCTTGGAAACATCCAATTACAGAAAATGTAATTTGAAATTAATTCCTTTTCCCAGTTACATATGACCTTATCATTGCAAGTTAACAAAGGATAACATTACCCCTTTTGTAGTTCAATTGAAATTGTTCAATTGTTTCTATCCTTATGCGGTTGTGTGGTATCATGTAAAAGATAGAGGAGGAATATCTCATGGTTCAAGTGCGGCCTTGTGTTCCATTCTGGCAGTTGAAGCAACAACAAGATGGATGAGAAAGTGAGGTGTTTTGTACTCCATTTGTTGCTTTCAGGTGTTTTTAAAAAAGCAGCTGCTATTGCTGCATATGAGAAATAAGAAAAGGCAAACATTAACTTTTGAAAACTGCAACAATAATTACGTACTTTTTGTGTACCTTGACAGTATAACTTTAACCAAATCCTTTTTTATAGTAAGTTTCTAAGTTCTAGTGCATAACAGAGCTCTACATGATTAAAAAAACTCAACTTAGATTTATATAGTCTGTATGTTGCATGTTAACTCCACCAACTGACACTTGCAGCTTTTTTTAAAAAATCACGTATAAATGTGAAGGAGAGAATGAACCTTCTTTTCAATGTGTAAACAGCTGCCATCCATAAGGTCACAGACCACTCTTCATGGTAGATACAACCTGAGGTGAAATTCCCATAAAATCTCTCATTAAATTGCTTCCACCACTTCTTCATTGAGAGCTGCAAGATTAGGCCAGGGATAATAACTAGCTCACTGGAAATAAAGTGAGAAACAGTCACGATGAAATTAGATCTAGACAATGTAGTAATGAAAAGCACTGGCCAATATTATAATGGATGGCGATATTTATCATAATTCTGTTCATTATGATGGATTGTTGGTTTGAGGATTAGCCACATAACTATCCAGCAAATGGAGGCAAAGCATATGTTTTAAGGTGATGACATTTACTACATAAGTCATGACGGACGTAAAACCTGTTAGTAACATAAACAGTGTTGGCTTCTCAAATATTGCTGACAGTTTAATTCTGCTTCTGCTATTAAAATGAAATATGAAGTAAGAGGGACTGAGAGCCTGCAGACACTGGAATTATTGGGGTATACAGTGTCAGACTTGCTTTTAGTCAGTGCTGGCCAAATGTAGATGCAGGAGAGGAAGCAGGATGACTTGATGTATATATATACTCTCAGATTATGCAGAATTGTGGTTTTCTCACTTTGCTGTGATCTAATAACACGGAAGACATGCAAAAGAATATGAGTTGCTTGCACAGATTTTCATTAAGGAACAGAAGGAACCTGAAATTTTACTATTGCATGATGAATATAAGGTAAAGAGCTAAAAGTAGCTGTGCTACTTTGATTCAGCCTGTCTACCAAAAGTAAAATGAACAATAAAGCCACAAGTGTGTGTGTGCAAGTGGACCACCACCCTTGAAAGCTCAGTCTGAAATAAAACTACAGTATTTCATCTTTAATATGCCATAATGCTTTGGTTTTGCAGCTGCACATGATTTAAGAAATGGCTTTAATAATTAAAATATGCATATGTGTGTGAGCACACTCTTAATGTCCTTCCCTTCCCAATGTATTAACTCAGGGCTGTCCTAAACTGCTCCTCCTTCTCCAGAAGTAATATGCCAGTATTTCACTTTGCTTCTTTAAAATACATTGACATTATCTTTTTCTTTGGCTTCTGAGCTGTATATTCTTAAAAACAAAACAGTAGTTACAAACATGATTATTCTCCACAGAAGTGGTACCCCACTTCAAACATGGGGATAAGATATCACATAATCTTTGTCACAAAAGTGCTAATATAGGAATAATGCCACTTAATTCCTTTAGGACGGGATTAAAGGTGTCAACATAATTCTAAATATAAATCTAAATATAAACTGAGAATACATAAATCCAAATGTTAGTCTCAGATAAAGGAGACCCATGGGATCATTGGATCACTGCCACTGCATACTGGCTGAAATGCAGTAGTAAATTGTGAAGAAATTGAGTAACTGGGAAATATGAAATTCCATTACTGGAAGCTTTAAATGCTTCTTTGTGGTTTCCTGGGAAGCTGGGCAAACAGGCAGAGGTCAGTGTGTGCCCTGAACCAAAAGGACAATTCACACCTTAAATTTATCTCCTGTTAATGAACACTTCAAAGAAAGAACTGAAAGAGGAACTGATGTGCCCATGCTTATCTTTGTCAGGTGGCATGCCAAAGCGGCCCCAAAAGGAATCTAGCACTTTAACTCTGGACTTGAAAGACCCAATCTATTTCCTTCTCTGGGAGTTATGCAGATTTCAGTTGTGGGAAAGACAGGGCAGGAAAATGTTTTTGTCTTGAAGGAACATGAAAGAAGATTAAGATGTTGTTGTCATGGCCCACTAGGGAAACTAGTTAGTTTAGCTGGCCTCCAAGAACTGGGCTATTGTTCACCTGCTCTTCTATAAAGCCATACTGGGAAAATATGCCCTCTGGGTATATCCCAGAGCTAAGCTACTAATCTACTAAGGTATGAATATTAGGTACATAAGTTTAGCTTTTATTGTTTTCAGGCGTTTCTCTTAAATTGCTTGAGACTATCTCTGTATTTTGCACAAGTATCTTTTGCCAGATTTTGGAACTTTTGTCCTTTTTCTTTTCTTTTAATAAAACAGAGAAATCCATCTGTCTGGATTTTCGGTTGTGAGAGTTTCTGGTACTAAAACCAGGTCTTGCCTTCACCCAGCTCCTGGAATGTTGGTGTTTGTGTGTGGGTATGAAAGGCTCTTTGCTTCTCAGTGGCCAGCCTTGCGTATCTTTCCAAAGTCCCTAGAGACCCTGCCAAAATGGGGTGTGTGGGAGTAAAACGGTCCCTGTCAGGCTCCTCAGCTATTACCATCACTAGCTCTTTCCTGAGCTCATCCACCTCAGGAAAAAAAGGGCCATGTAGCAGTGTGCTTATTGAAAGGGGTCCCAGATCAGTTTTGTCATGTAAGTCACAACTAGAGTAGGCCCACTCTACCAATGGAGCTTACAGAAGAGTTGACTCATAAAATCTCCATTGGTTTCATGGGCCAACTGCAGTTGTGATTTACCGACTGGATTTCAACCAATTGGATTTACCATTACTCATATTATTTTTAAGACTTGAAACTGACACTGTGGTTCAGGATGTATTACACTTATTGTCCTATTCTCTCCAGAACAGAGCTTGCAGGTTCTTTCAATGCTTCAGAAAGGGAAAGAAGATGACCAACAAGAGACAAAAAGGGAAATTATGTATATGAACAAGTTCCAAATGCAGATCCATCAATGCTTCAGACATTACAGAAGAAATGGGGGTGGTGGTAAAAGGAAGTACAAACTACTTTCGATCCACCTCCACTCTGAGACATTGAAAGCTACTGATGTCAGTTATGGGGGCTGACACCTCTGTTCTTTTCCTCAAAAAAAAGAGGTCAATTCTGCATCTATGATGGGGACAGGGAAGATGTTCAACTGGGCCTTTAAAGATCAAGCCCAGCAAATTGAACTTCATCCTGGTACCGGTTTAGAGAATTCTATTAAATAATTTAAGGCACCAAGGTTATGGTTTAATGTTATTTATTTTCAGTTTAATAACAAGTTTATTAATGCTTCTGTAAGTATATTTTGTGTGCTCAGATTTTAATATCCCCCTTTATTTACTATGGCAACCAGGCACAGGAGCAAGTGGGAAAACAAGGTGCGGGTGCAGAATTTGGGAAGGCTGGAGAGGATGACTTCTTGCCCGTTGCAGAGGAGTAGAAGGGAGGAAGTGAGTAATGGGGCACAACAAGACATAGATGTCTGGGAGGGCTTCGCCCCAAAAATGGGTTGTGAGTGTGTGAAAAACAAACCAGGGCAGTGTGAGAAAGACAGAGAGGATGAGGCTTAGACCCGCAAAGTAGGATGAAAACGTGGTCAGAACACCGAGGAAAGGGAAATCTGATACCCTGGTGTCAGACTTAAGGGGGGGGATAGGTACTGGAGGAGAAGGAGAAAGAGCAGGGAAACCAGAACAAGGAGAGAGAGACCCGACCGGGGCTCCCTCTTCCCAGTCCCCTCAGGCCAGGCGAGGGCAAACCCTGCTCGTTGACTGCATCGCGGCTCCGCGCCTATGGCAAGGGGGAAGCCCCCTCCCTCCCCCGAAAGAACCGCCTCTCCTCTCCTCTCCCGTCAGGCGCTCCGCGGCCGAGCAAGGCGAAGGGGCGGCGCAGTCCCCGGATGTACTCGGCCCGCCCTCCTGCCCGTGGCGGGGGGGGCGGGGCCGCAGAGTGGCCTCCACCTTGAGGGGCTTGGGGACGCGGCCTACAGGCAGGGAGGCGAAGTCGCCGCCGTCGCCGGAGGGGCAGCATGTCGCTGGTGGCGGAAGCCTTCGTTACCCAAATCGCAGGTGAGGAAGTGCAAAGGAGGGAGGAGGAGGGAGGAGCGGCTGTCGCCACTGCCGCCGCCGCCACATCTCTCTGATTCCTCCTCTCCCCCCCCTCCGAACATTGTCCTGTCCTCCGGAACCACACCTCCCGTCAGCCCTCGCCGCCAGAGCAAATGGCGTTGGACGATGGGAGTTGCAGTCCCGCCGCCTCTTCTCCTTCCCCGCCGGGTAGCGTGCTGGGGGGGGGGAGGGCGGCAAGCCCTTGCGAAGGACGCCCGGGCGACGGCCCTCGAGGGAAGGCCCGGGGGGGGGGAGGAGGAGGAGGGAAGCCGTGCCAGGGGGGAGAGGGGAGGGCGTCTCCCCGGTGGGAAGGCCTCGGCCTGTCTCCACGGCGGCGGTTGCCCGGCATGGCAGGCCTCCAGGCACGTGCCTGCCGGAACATGGCAGCTTGGGTGGCTGCCCCCTCCTCCTCCTCCTTGGAAGTCTTCAGGATGCCAGGAGGGGCGGCCGCCCTGCCTGCCTGCCTGCCTAGCGTCCCTCAGGTCGGAAGGGTTTTGCAACAGAAGGCCTCACTAAATTGGCAGGTGCCACCGACCAGGGGCGCCTCATTTGACCGCAGGGAAGGATCTGTCAGCGTCCTTTTCCGAGTCTCGAGTGTGCTCCCCTTTTCGGGGGCCGAGCCGTGTCTTTTATTGACTTGCTGAAATCCTGCAGATGCGGCAAGCCTTTCAGTTCTCCGGAAGACACACCTTCACGGGCTTAGCCTGGAGGGAAAAAATGTGGAGGATTGGGCAAAGAAGCACAAGGTCCAGTGGGCTGGCCAGATGGCACAACTGTTGTAGGCAGGTTTCCTTGCAAAGTGGAAATTGAAGATTTAGTGGAAGGCAAAATTATCAAGGTTATCAGTTTTCCATTCTCTCTCTTCTCTGCCAAGCAGAACCTGGCATTTGTTCCTCTTGTGCTCCTTGTGTTGATTTAGAACAGACTTCTTAACTGTATGACTGGTCGGGACATGTTTCTGGCTTGCCGGATCTACTTAGGTTCTTAATCTTGGCAAAAGCAAAGGGAGAAAAGAGGGGGGGGGAGAATAAAATGTTGTGGCACTTTAAGAACTAACACATTTGTTTCTCTAAGAGCTTTTCTGGATCAAAATCCACTTCTTCAGACACATCATATTCTTTATTAGAGCGAGGTCCACTCGCCGCAAGCAGTTGCAAAATACGGGAATCAGATGCAAATTGGTGTCTCAAGGATAGAGCTAGAAATTGCAGGACTTCAAGAGCCAAGAGTTTGGGGTGAACTGTATTGGGGAATGTCAAAAACTTATGCTAACCTATTGCAGAACATCTGGGGATTCTGGGGATCTGCTATCAGTAGATTGAGATCCACTCCCATCCAGTTCGTTTTATGATTTTCAGTGTTATTTTTTCTCTCGGCTCTAAGACATGACCTTGTCTGTTACTTTATGGATGATCTTCTAATAGAAAGTCATCCACTAAATATAGAGGCAGGGTGATAAAAGATATGTTCAAGGGGGAGTTTGGCATTGTTTAAAATGAAATTAATAAATCTCTTTTAAGAGTGTGACATGATTTGTGAATAGTGTAGGCATGCCTTATGTCCTTTTACCATTCTTACAAGTGTTGTGTTACTACAGAACATCACCCAGGATATAATCCATTTAGGTATCAGTCAGTCAAATTAGTGGGAAAATGTCATCTATTTACTCCCGTGTACTATAAATCATTTTATCTCTGTGTTATAATTTTTCAGGACAACAGGTTGTAAACATTGGCAAATCTGTAAGAAAACATACTGTGCAGTATTCTGCTCAATATTTGTGTGCACAGAACTCCAAATATGGAATAAATTGCCCTGATGAAGGGATGAGGGGCAGGTTATTTGCATGGTTCCCCATGTCTAGCACTTTGGCAGATTGCCCCAGCAACTTCTGCTGTTGGAGCACTGTGTACATGTATGTTTGTGGATATTCTTATGGTGATTAGGTCATGGCTCTTTTGCAAGGTACCTTCAGTTAATAGGTAACAAAATTAGTTCATACATCAATCTACACATGATTTTCTCTTTCACTTTATTACTCAATCTGATGCTGGACATGCCCTTTGAAAAGTCTTTGTACTGACATTGGTTGAATATTTATGTTTAATCTGCAATAACACATTCACATATTTATGTTGAAGTCCCCTGAGTGATAAGTGCATAGCTGAACCAGCCCATAGGGTCCTCTCATCAAAATAAAAAATATATATATTTTAAAAGATCAGTAATTACAATAATAAAAGAAACTCCTTATTTACTTTTCTGAAATAAATAGGCAAATCCTAAAATAATTGGTTGACTTTGCGATGTAACTTTGTGTAGTACATTATAGCGTTAGAAAGTACTGCTGCAGCTCTTGTGTAACTCATGCTGCTTCTGTTCATGTACAGTGGTGCCTCAACCTATGAACGTCCCGACTTATGACCATTTCGAGTTATGACCAGCTCCAGCTGCTTTTGGCTTTGCATTCTTTGCATTTCTGATGGGTCTTGCACGCTCTGCTTGCTTTTTGCTTTGCTTTGTTTGAATTTCCGATGGGTCTTGCACGCTCTGCTTGCTTTTTGCTTTGCTTTCTTGCATTTCTGATGGGTCTTGCATGGTTTGTTTGCTTTTCTTTCCTCCCTTCAATTGAGAGGGTTTAAAAAATATTTTTATTAAATTACACAACATAAACCTACTACCACAAAGAAAAGAACAATAAAATACAGTTACATATCACATTAGTGCCACCATCACCTTCAGGACTAGCATTAAACTTCATTCAATCCATTTTCTCTCCAAAAATTGATTGTTTCTTCCCTCAGTGTATACCCCTTCCCTCTCCGGAATACATATTCCAAGAATGCACTCCATATTTTCTTGGAATTATTATTTTTTTATTGGCCTCTTCTTATTTTCCTATCACATGTCAGTTTATCATTAATTGCTACATCCCATAGTTCTCTGTATCATTCCTCTAAACTGAGTTGATTATCGTTTCTCCAGTTTCTTGCAAAAATTAACCTTGATTAATAATTAATCATTATTAATATTAAATCCTTATTTTCTTTTAACAATTGATTCTTCTTAACCAAATTTAAGAAAGCAATTAACAGGGTTATTTGAATATTTAATCCAATTATTTCACTTATTTCTTCAAAGATTTGATTCCATTCTTGCTTTCTTACTTCACATGACCATCACACATTTTTGGTACACTGGTACATTACTATGAATTTTTTTTTTAAATTTCTTTCCAGATTTTTTTTGTCTATCCGTTTCTTAGATATTGCTTTTTCAAAATTGCAAAAAAAGAGGCCAAAATTAACTACCCACCATAACTTCAGAACATCATTTAATAGATACATATGATAGCTATAGACCTGTGACAGGTGTCACTTTAAAACTTATGAATAGGGCTTTCATTTGCTATGCAAGATGATGCAATTGTATATTTTCAAAAAATTACACATTTTAAAAAAAGGAAAATTTGAATTTTTGGGATACTGAATTTTTAAAAAGTTTTCAAAAAATTCACACTTAAAGATACATGTCTTGTAGCCAGTCAGTCTATATTTCAGGCTGGCATCTGATTGTTATCATACAAACCTTAATTTTTCTTCCTCATAGTAAGACTTTTTTATGGCATACACGTATTGTCAGTGTTTGTGGTACAGAGTTGGGATGCACACTGTCTTCAAGAAAATTTGCAAAACTGAATCAGGGGTATGTGCATCTTCTTTGGTTGATGACAAGGCATCCCCAGTTGCCCCCAAGATAGGCTGGCCACCTCAAGAGATCACACAAGTTCAATCTGAATAAAAGTAGTTTTAGTTATGTTGGTGGTAAAAAGGGGTTCATATAATATAATAGAGTCAGACAGGGAGAGAGTGGCGGCTGGTAGGAGCAGACACATTCCCTCACCCCCGGGGTCAGTAGAAGAAACCAGAAGAATCTGTAAGAAGATGAGGGGAAGAAAAGTAGCAGTGGTGAAGGGGGTGGTGGACAAATTCAATAGGGAGGGTGTTTGTTTTATTTTTTGCTTGGGGAGCGCTACAGTTTGTAACCACAAATCAGGACTAGTATTAATTTAAAAAGCAAACTAGAGAATGGTTAAACACTTAAAGGTTTTAACATGGAATGTGAAAGGCTTGGGTTCTAACATGAAGAGAGCTAGGATACAAAATGTTTTGAATAAAAGTAACACGGATGTTGTATTTTTGCAAGAAACTCATAAAAAAGGAGGGTTTTAATGAATTGAAAGGTAAATTATTCAAATTTATGAAAACTCGTTTGGGACATAAAATCTCAGGGAGTAGCAATATTAATATTAAAAAAATGTGAATTTAAAATAAAAAAAATGGAAAAGGACACTCAAGGCAGATATCTGATTTTGCAAGGTAAAATAAAAGGAGAAGACTTTACACTTGTGAATGTTTATGCACCCGATGAGGCAGGAAGAATTTTTTGAAAATGTATTAAGAAGGCTGCATAAACTGAGGAAAGGTTAAGTGATAGTAGCAGGAGATTTTAATATGATAATGGATATGAGGAAGGATAAATCAAAATTGCAAATTGGGGAAGGAAAAATTAAATGTACAATATTAAATAGACTAATTAACAACACAGATTTGAAAGATGTTTGGAGAGAATTAAAGGGTGAAGAAAGAAAACTCTCCTACTCACAGGTGCATATTACATACTCAAGAATAGATTATATATCTGTCTCTAAAGATTTACTGCCAAGGGTAAATAACACAGATATTGAAGTCATTCAAATATTGGATCATGCCAGAGTGAACATGGAGTTGATGGTTAAATGTGATTATAAGGAGGCAGCAAGGTGGATGATGATGATGATGATGATGATGATGATGATGAT